TTGTTAAGCATAAGAAATGAAAATAATTCATTTAAGTAGATTCTTACAACCACTCCTTACAGCCTTATAGCCTTATGTTATGTCATTGGAGACTAGGCTTTAGTTTCGTGCGTTTTCTAACTGCTTCAAGATTATAAAACAGAACGCAGTTGCAATATGTTTTCTGAAGTTCCAACTGAAATAATGGCTGGCATATTTAATATTAAAAAATATAATTTAATTATATAATTATATATATAATATTAAATATAACATATATATATATAAATAATTAATAATAATAAAAAATAAATTATAAATAATAAAAAAAGTTATTAATAATAAATTTCATAATATTATATAATATCATAATAATTTCATTATATTATATTATTTCATTATACGCTTTATTTTTTTCAGCATCAAGATTATTTCAGTCTCCATGGAAGCAGCCATCTTTGTGCTCTGACTGCTTTATCTCGCTGGTTGCAATAGCTGCAACAGGAAGTATATCAAAATCAATGACTTAATTTACACTTAGCCGTCCCGGTTCACTTCAAAATGAAGTGGATTTAGGGAGCGTTTACACCGTTGATCTTACTAAAGCCAGCGGCACACAATGCTTTTTTTCCTGCTGATTTGCTAGCTGGATTCGCGTGTTTGCTAAGCTCTTGTCTTCGATTGATATATTTTTTTAGATCGAAAAGAATATACCAATCAAAGACAAAAGCTCAGCGAGCACGCAAATTCAGTTAGCAAACCAGCAGGAAAAAAAGCATCGTGTGCTGCTGGCTTAAGAAAAGAAAATTAAGGGTCGGCAGGAGAGACTATCGGAGATGAATTCCTTTTCACCCATATTACGGCCAAAATACTGCGAGAAAAATTATATAATTATGATATTTATAATCAGAATATTTGCCTGACGAATGTCATTTTATGTACTATAGAATAAGGTGCAAATATTTTCATCTATATAAATTTTTTTTACAAGCCAAATTGCAAAATTCCGCTCTGTAGTAAAACCAGCGGCACACGATGCTTTTTTTCCTGCTGATTTGCTAGCTGGATTTGCGTGCTCGTTGAGCTCTTGTCTCTGATTGGTATATTTTTTTGGATCTAAAAAAATATACCAATCGAAGACAAGAGTTCAACAAGCACGCGAATCCAGCTAACAAACTAGCAAGAAAAAAAAGTATTGTGTGCTGTTGGCTTAAGTCATAATTTTATAAAAAATACGTAGAAAAAGGCTTATGGCAGAATATTGTTTCTACGAGATGATATATGGGTGTACTCAAATATATATCTGCACTGTAAATAAAGAGTAGATAGTTACATTTATTTTAATTATTTAAGAGCTAAATTGCAAAATTGACTCTGTAGGTACCTTCGTAATTGTAAAAGAAATTATCGTAGTAAAGTTTCATGACGAAACATCATTTCTATAAGACAAAATATAATTGAGTACAGATACATATCTGCACTGTAAATAAGGAGTAAATAATCATTTTAGATCAAGTCGTAGTTAGTCCACTCCTGCCCTCCGACCCTTAAAGTGGATCGAAATTAATCCGTTTATACTTAAGAAATATTACTTCATTCCGAAATGAATCGGGATTGAACGGCTGGGTGTAAACTAAGTCAATGACGTCATAGAATTCAAGGCAGTACTTTCGTAGTGCACTGCTCTCTATATCGGAACGTTATTCGTAGTACTGATAGTACTCGGAGTGAATAAAGGAACGCACCTCCAGGCTACTATCGAAGTGTCTTATCCCATGGTGGATAGCAAACGGTGTGTGTTCGGTGTTCGATTGTTTAGTGTGAAATATCCGTGAATTGTAGGACGTCGCATTAACCGATCACTACAACTCTTCGAGGGAAGCAGAACCATATCTCCTCTCAATTCTACTTGAAACTTTAGTATCCACGCAACATGACCAAGAACGTAACGAGAAAACCGATGGAGAATGGCGACAGCCGCGGGTCTCATGGCCAGGCCTATAAGGACAAGAGTAAACCTATGGATATTCGTAGTAGCAACATCAACGCTGCCAAAGGTAGAGTCGCAATTCGCAATCTGCGATCGATGGTTCCTGAAATTGTGTCAATACGTATTCTTGAATGTGTTCGATTGACTGTGGAGAACACGTGTTATGCTTGGGAAAATGTTACCTTATATAGCAATGTCGTGAGAGCCGGTTACTCTTCACGTGCGCGTTTGATATCTATATTTTGATGCCTCAAATCGGATCTGGGAATCAATTGTGTATCTTGAAATAAAATGAAAATTACAAAAGTAAACAAATTTACTAGCTATCGACATGTAAAGGATGCTTTCTATTTAATGACTAATTGATAAATATTTTATCTTTCTTGTCATTCAAAGAGTAACAAGGATAAAACGATGCTTGTGTTAACTTGTGTTACCAAACAGAAAGCATCTTATGTTGCAAATAGTGAATTTCTTCATACTTTTGTAATTTTCACCTTGTTCCAAAATATATAAGACTCCTTAATAAAGGTAGAAATAAAATATATAAACAAATAATATTTCTCCATGAGATGTCACACTTTAAACAAAAAAAAAGAAAAAAAACCTTTAAAGAGCATTCTTTTGGAGTTCTATTGTTTTAGCCACAAAACAAATCGTAACATTTATTTTATGTGATTTGAATATATTCTGTATAAATTATTTTTCTATAGCTGTCAGTGATGCGATTCGCACAAGTCTTGGACCTAGGGGAATGGACAAAATGCTGAGTCGGAGATTTATAATCTTTCCAAATTTCTTCTTTATTTATATTCTTTATTTATAACTACTTTTTACTTAAAGTACACACACATATACACACACACACACACACACACACACACACACACACACACATGTATAATTTAAGCCTATGTTTAATGATAATAATACCTTATCATTATGCAAGTAATAATATATGATAGAAAAAATGCATATTATAACATTATGATAAAAACATTATCATTAAGAGTTAAATTACAGAATAAGTTTTTGATCTGAAACCATGAGTACAATATATTTAGTTTTAAAATATTAGAAATTTGAAAAAATTCAAGTATTTTATATATAATTTCTATTATCTAATGTATTATTGCAGTTAATTTAAAATCTTTTAATAATTTTTAAAGAGAAATCTATAAAAATTGTCTTCTGACATGAAAAGTTAAAATTTTGTAAGGAGTCATTTTTAATAAAGATTTCTTTACAGATTTGTGGTTTATAGTTTAAAAATTATTAAAAAAGTAAAATTTTGCAAAGATACTGTTAGTAAGTACTTTTTAAGTGATATGGCATTGATTTAAAAAAAATAGAAAAAATATTTTTAACATTCTAAATACATTTAATAAAAGAAATTATTAATTAAAATGTAAAATAGTAATATATCTAAGAATATAGTAGAACGAAATATGAATAACAATATTGTAAAATGATACATTAAATAAAAATTTATGAATTATAAGAAGATTTAATAAAATAATAGTAATTAATTATTAATGTATAATTCGTTTTATAAGAAAAAATCAAAAGTAATTAGTATTTTTTAACAAATAATTTTTTCTTTGATTTATATTTGCTGGTGGAACAATAAATTGATCTTCTTGATTTCATTTGGCATAAATTTTTTTTAGCGAATAAAATTGATTATTTTTGTGAAAATTAAAAATGGAAAATGAATTTGAATATCACAGATTCAGGAGTTTATTATTATAAAATTAATTCATTAATTATATTGAATTATATTCTTAATATAATAATATATTAATATAATATTAATCTATTTTTTTATGTATGCAAATATAAAAGATTCAAGCAAGTAATGGAGAAGTTACTATCACTAATGATGGTGCCACTATCTTGAAAGAGATGAATGTGATCCACCCTGCAGCAAAAATGGTAGTAAAATTCTTGTTCCAATTTAAAAAAAATTTTTTGTATTACAATATATATATCTTGCTTTTAGCTTGTTGAGTTATCAAAGGCACAAGATATAGAGGCTGGTGATGGTACCACAAGTGTTGTTGTGATAGCTGGATCATTGTTAGAAGCAGCTGAACGTTTGCTGCAAAAGGGTATTCATCCCACTTTGATCAGCGATGCTTTTCAAAAAGCAGCATCTAATTCAGTATCAATTTTGACGCATATGTCCATACCTGTTGACCTAACAGATAAAGAATCTCTTGTAAAAGTTGCAGCAACATCTCTTAATTCCAAGGTATGTTTTAATTAACCTCGATGAGTAATTTTTATAATAATATGTATTGTAATTTTTTCATACAATTTAAAATTATTTTTAATATTTATTATTAATATACTTCAGGTTGTGCATCAACAATCTAGTCTTCTTGCACCACTTGCCGTGGACGCAGTATTAAAGGTTACAGAAGAAGGAAAGGAAGCATCAGTCGACTTAAATGTGAGAACGGATTTTTTTTACTACTACTACTACTCTAATGTTTAATAGACTAATAATATTTATATGCATTTTTATTATTACCATTAGGATATTAAAGTAATAAAGAAATTAGGAGGCACTGTCGAAGATACTGAATTAGTAGATGGATTAATATTTACCCAGAAATCTTGTAATGTTAATGGTCCGAAACGTATTGAAAAAGCTAAAATTGGGTTAATTCAATTCTGTATTTCACCACCGAAAACCGATGTAAATATTAAGACATAATATGATATACAGATATACTTACTTTCAGGTCTAAATATTAAATTTTTTCATAATTTATAGATGGATCATAATGTTGTTGTATCTGATTATGCAGCAATGGATCGTGTCTTAAAGGAAGAACGTGCTTACATATTGAATATTATAAAACAAATCAAGAAAGCCGGTTGCAATGTACTTCTCGTGCAAAAATCGGTTTTGCGTGACGCTGTTAACGATCTTGCGATACATTTCTTAGACAAAATTAAAGTTATGGTAATAAAAGATGTGGAGCGCGAGGATATTCCTTTTGTGTGTAAAACATTAGGTTGCAGGCCAATCGCGTCGTTAGATCATTTCGTTCCTGAAAATCTTGTCAACGCAGAGCTCTGCGAAGAAGTTCAAACCGGAAATTCTAAATTTGTTAAGGTACACAAAAATAGATATAATTTTTACTTTAAAAAAGCAAAGATTATTATGATATATGATCTTTTAAGAGTTTTTTTTGTTGTAATTCACATTTTATATATAATTATATAATTTAAACTTTTTTATATATACATATAGATAACAGGGATTCAGAATCACGGAAAAACAGTTACGGTTCTTGTACGTGGCAGTAACAAGTTGGTTTTGGAAGAAGCTGAGAGATCGCTGCATGATGCCCTGTGTGTTATTCGGTGTTTAGTGAAGCAAAGAGCACTGATTGCTGGTGGTGGAGCACCAGAGATTGAATTGGCTTTAAAATTGGGAGAATACGCTGTAACCTTGGGTGGAGTTGATGCATACTGCATCAAGGCCTTTGCAAATGCTCTTGAAGTTAGTATTAAATATATTTTATAATTTTTTGTAGATGAATTTGTTTTAAGAAGATTCTATTATTTACACATTACTTCAATTTTTATCCTCGAAGAAAATACATAACTCATTTTTCTAATTACCTTAATATTTCCATCGTTATAAATAGAGAATATAGATTCTCGAGATAGATTCGTTATTCACTTACAACTTTAAACTCAATTCTTCAATTTCCAATTAGGAAGATTATTAATCAAAAAGGCATGCAAGGATAAAAGGATAAGAGTTGAGATTGATGTAGAGCGATACGTCGTCTCTTTTGATATTTTGTTACTTTCGATTTTTATTTCTATAATGAAGTATTTCCTCACTCGAATATTTCTATATCATATACTGAATAACAAAATTAACAATTCTGAATCTGGATGTTTGCTTTATCATCAAACTAATCCAATAATGGATGTTTTCCATTTAGTGACACAAGTTGACACAAGTAGACACAAGTATCGTTCTATCTTTCTTGACTTTCAATGATTAACAAGGATAAAATGATACTTGTGTCACTAAATGGAAAGCATCTAATATAATTTCCATTCTAAAATCATGAAATTATATTAACATATAATAGTCAATATAGATATTTAAATTTTGTAATTTATAAATTGCAGGTAATTCCATCGACATTGGCCGAAAACGCTGGTTTGAATCCGATAGCTACAGTAACCGAACTTCGCAACCGACATGCAAAAGGTGAAGTAACAGCAGGGATTAACGTCCGAAAAGGCGCTATCACTAATATATTGGAGGAGAACGTGATTCAACCGTTACTAGTTTCTATCAGTTCAATAACTCTCGCTTCCGAAACTGTACGCAGTATACTGAAGATCGATGATATTGTCAATACAAATCATTAAATCATCAAATCATCAGATGCGATTTAAAATTGATTTCATATTTGCAGTAAGTATAATAATTAATAATACTTATGTAATTTAATGTTTAAATAATCTTCATAACGTAATTTTGATTACAGATTTATATACACGTTTATTACATTTGTTACAAAAGCCTATACATTAACAATGAAAATGAAAATCGTATATGCTTTTTACATAATGTAATATTTTTTAAACACATTAACACTGAGTAATAAAAAAATGTATGATATTGACAACATGAAACAATAACTTGTTTTTATTTCATAATATGAATATTGGAGGGTATAAAATGATTAAAATTTATCTTATAGTAGAAAAATCTGCACATTTTCGTTCACAATTTGTTATTGAAATAAAGAAGAAGTAAATCTAATAGATGTAAATATTGATATTCCTAAGAAAGATATATACATAATACACATATGATCCTCTTAACAATTTAATTGAAGTATAATTTCTTACAAAATTCTTTTCGGCCAAATATATAACTAAATGTTAAGTATATCTTGCACGTAATAATAATAATATTATAATAATAATGGAGTATTTATTTATATCGCAATTATTTTGTGCTATTTTATTAAATCAATTGTATAATCATTGCTTTTAAAACTTCAAATTAAATCATAATAATCTAATTAGTCATAAATGTGATTAAGTACATTGATATAATAGTAGCTGCATTAAAAATCTCAAAATTTTACATGTCCAGATTGCGATATTTGATGAAGAAAAACTTAAATTTTATTTCATGTATTTCAAGTATGTATAATATCGTTAATTATTTTTTCATAATAATGATAGTTTTTTACATCATTAAAATAATCAAAAAATAAAATGAAAAATTCTTTGATATACACGAAATATAAATCTGAGACAAATATTAACAAATATAAAATTTTATACAAAATCGCAATTTTATATTAATGAATATAATTCTGCCAATTTTTATCAAATGCTTACATAAATAGACTTCATTATATAAAACAAGAAATATATTTCTTTACATTACTAATTCTCGATAATTGTTTTATATTAATAATGTTTTCAGTTCTATGTTACCGATTATTAAATATGTAAAATGTCTTATGCGATCGATAGTAATGAAGAACTGAAACCTATCAGTATAAAAATAAAAATGTCTTATAAATATATTATGTAATAAGTACTTCAACCTTTTGGAATGTACATATCTCTTTTATGTATAAATTTTTACACACATTCTCACTTAAGATTCACGCAGATGTATATATTCATATATAATTACAATTTTCATTTAGAAATGAGTATAAATCTCTATATATCGTATAGATATCAACCTTTATCTCTTAAATATATGAAGTAATATTATTGTAACTTCTCCGAAATTAAAAAATTAAGGATGTTTTAATCGAAGTTTTAACAAATCAATTCATCTTAAAGATATCATAGGAAGAAATCCTTGGCAGTAGTACTGGGAAGATTTCATCAAAATATTTTTCATGTATATGAATAAATGCTGTTAAATTAACTTCTCAATACAGTTTATGAGTCGGAGTAAAAAACAGCATGTATTAATAGACATATAATTTTAAAATTATTTAATTTTTAGTTTTTAATTACTTATATTCAAATATTTTAATTAATATCTAAAAGACACTTCAAGAAGTTTGTAAATAAAATCTAACATTTATTTTTTGCAATTTGTAATATAAATGCTTACCTCTTTTGACTTTCACATCTTAACTGTAAAATCCGAGATTATTCTTGGATATTTGTTCGATGTGTATGTTGATATTCAATTTTTAGATCGTTATTTATTTATATCACTCACTAATGTATAATGAATTAGTTGCAAATAAATGCTAAACTATCCTGCATTATACATTAAAAATAAAAATAAATTATGCATTAAAAATAAATTATGCATTTTTCGTAGAAATTTGCGTACAATCTGTCGAATTTTTCAAATTTTGATAAATGAATTAGTTTAAATCGTATCTTTCCATCGTCGATATTACCATCGTGGGTGGACCTGATGAAAACTCCATTGCTGGTAAGTATTATTTATGTCGCATGGCATTAGGGAAAGTTGCTGAGTTTGGGGATGAAGTGCCACACACTTCTTATGTACTCTATGTAATAGAGTCTTTGTTTTCTATAAATATAAATTAAAATTATGAGATTTCGTTTATTTGAAATTTCTGTTATTAAAAAAAAAAAACTTACATCATCATATTGCCATGGTCCATCTGCAGTTCCGAGACGACAAAATGCATACTTTATTCCTTGGCCGTCCGCTTCAATACATCTCTCACCAACACCCAATTGACCCTTTGCATTCA